AGAATGATGATGGCAACAAATGTATAAATGTGCTTGACACAATGGAAGTATGTATGGATTGTGATAAGAGTTGTACAAAGTCCCCAATGATTGTTTTTTAAACGTGCTGAAAAACTTGGCTTATACACAAGTATATACGGTAATTCCAAAACTAAATTAGCCACCATTCAGTCAATTCCAACTCACAGTGAGTTTGTAGGACACACTAAACTGCCCCATAGGGTGTCCAAGGTTATAAACTTTTACGAAAGTAGGCCATCGCTTCTTTCTCTCATGGAGCAGCTGGTGGTTTTGAACCAACAGTCTACTGTGCCATCCACCACCCACCCCACCCAGCCCTTGTCACGGAGTTGATTCTGATTCGCAGTGACTCTCTATAGGGTTTCCCAGATGGTAAAGTTTTATGGGGAAAGTGAGCCTCATCTTTCTCCCAGAGTAGCAGTCAGCAGCCCAACACCAAACCCACAGCACCATCAGGGCACCTATATTCCAAACAGTGGATAGGATTTTACTTCATAATTTCGATAGATGGCATACAAAGTATCAATCGCATGCAAACTTTAAAACTTCCTAGTACTTACTTCTGAAGGTCTTGGCAGATCTTTCTGGACAGCTTTGTGCATTCGTTTCATTTCCTTGACACGCTCGGCATCTCGGATAGCCTACAAAATGATTTTGCGTCTATTACTGCAGCTATGGAGTATTTGACACATCTCAATAACGTTTACACTGTGGTCTACCAGATCATGTACATTTAAATGCTGAAACTATGGAAGTCTGTGTAACTCTGCAGAATGGCAACAAAGTTAACCATCCAGATTTCTTGGATAGAGATCAGAAGGAAGCTCCTTATGCTGTGCTGACTTGTGGTCTGAGAATGCACCTGTAGCTTGTACTGAACACTGGCTCCAAGTCAAGATTAGGCGAAAGCCCTATATGAATAACTGTGCCCCCACATACATGAACCATAACTGGGAACTAGCTCTCCTGTACCCAGAGAGCAGCTGAGTTTCTGAGCTGTTTTCTGTTCTCTCTCCTTATGGCCTGAGTTTATGAAGACCCCAAGTATTCCCACTCGAAGTTCAGTGACATGTGAACCAGCCTTTAACTATCACTAATCATATCCCAACATCATACTCTAGTCAACGATCATTTTATTCGCCTTTGTGAGGCATCCTAGAGTCCAGTGAGGGAGCATAACTCAAAATGATTTAAAGGAAGAAAAATCCAGCGAGCCATCCGGCAATGTCACTTGAGAATAATTTTTCCTCTGTTGGATGGAACATGTCTTTTTTTTTTTTTTTTTTTAATCCAAACCTTTTAAAGAGTAGAAACTAACTAATGAATTCTAGAAGGTAAAGCAATTTTACTTAACCTAGTGCTGCGGCTGCCTAAGGACTTCTCTGCCTCTTAGAAATTGGACTAATACTATGGATGCAATCTTCATCATTTTCAGCATGTTCTTTTCAAAATTAAAAAGAATTTGCTCTACTGCTCATACTGATGAACTCTTCGGGTGGGACAAAAAAAGTGGGGGTGAATTTTACATTATAAAGAAAGCATTACTGAAAATAAAGTCCTGCATGACTTAAAAAAAGGTAACCAGTTTATTCATTCTCTCATTACAATAGAAACTAAGCACTCCCAATGTCTCCTAGAGCATACTCCAAACTCACGTGGACAGGGCTAACAATCATTCTTTTCTTATCTAAATGAAAATCTTAAAGGAAACTCTTAGTTATCCCTCCTGCAGTAGAGCCTTTCCCATTTATCCTAGAAGCTACTGACTCCATTTTAAAAGCCAGCTAATAAAGTTGTAGTTTCCATATTTTAAAATGATGAACTGTGTGGGACAACACACGAACATGTCACTCCGTTTCTGAGAGTGACTGTAACTCGAAGTAGCTGAGAGAACCACGGGAAGGACTCTCCTATGTTCCTTCCCAGCAAAGACAGTCACGCTGGCGTCCCTCTAAAACATGATTTCCCATTGATGCCGATACAATCCCGAGGTGAAAGCTTCTTAACATGACCTGACAGACTTCAGTGGGACGGGAAGAGGGTCAAAGGACCTCAGTTCTAATTCCAAACTCAGCACCTGCCAAGTCAGGAGACCGGGGAAGTCAACTCAATTCATCTCCCCGTTTACTTCCTCATAAAATAGCGCTAATATTGATCCTATTTACATAGCCAGGGTGGTGTTAAGTCCAAATGGGAAAGTTATTAAATAAAAAATATATTCATACAAGGTACTATTAATCTTATTCTGACAAATCCCTACGTTTCCAAATGTTTTATTCATTTATACTGACATAAATCCATTTACTCATCCACCATAAGATCCGTTTGTTTTTAAAATGACCAATAATATCTTTGTTCTGGCTATGGTAAAAGCGTTATCTAAAAGACTAAGCCTGCTCCATCTAATCACTGCAGCAGAACGGCCTCGTACCATTTCCAAAGCTTTAAATCTGAGCAGAGCAAACTGCCACATCTTTCTCCCACAAAGCAGATGGTGGGCTCAAACCACTGACCTTCCACTAACCAAACGAGTGCTTTAACCACTGTCCCACCAGGGCTCCTTTCTAAAGACTACATATATGTATTTCACATAGGCGTGATGAATTTGACAGACACTGCCACACACAGATAACATTTTATAAGTGCTATCACGATATTTTAAGTTTATTGTTAAGATTACATGAGACTGTATTATGAACTGCATCAATAATTTACCAGGGTAAATGTTTTCTTGACACTGAGAAAACTTGTCAGCAGACATCTTGCTATCGGCCGGCGTTCATTCTCCCAGACTCCTGAGTGCCTCTCTTCTGGCACAATGTCTCACCTGTTTTCGTGCGTCCACGTCAGCAGCATCTTCCACGTAAGTGTCATCTACTTCTCGGTCTTCTAGCTCCTTCTCAGCATTTTCTGGTAGAACAATTTCAAAGTCATTCTTAGGGGCAGGAAGGCCCAACAACCCTAAGCGGAGATGTTCACGGGACTCTCGCTCCTGTAAAAATAATGGAGCCTTTCTGTGTCATTCATCTTAAGTACTCCATCAGTACTCTAAGAATTTCTAGAAAAGTACCAGCCTGATAGTAATCATAGGAAAATGATTCCTGACTTCAGTACCGAAACCAGTTTTTTGCTTAATTTCCATCTCCCTTTCTGTCCCACATTGAGACCAATCAAAAACTTTGACTTAACACAACCACACACATCCCTCCAGGGGGAAGAATAACGGAAACCATGGGGGAAGGGAGACAGTGGTTAATGTGAGACATGAAAATAATTTATAATCTATCAAGGGGTCATGAGGGCGAGGGAGGGGGGAAAAAGAGGAGCTGATACCAAAGGCTCAACAGAAAGTAATTGTCTAGTAGAAAAGAATGATGGCAACATATGCACAACTATGCCTGATACAACTGATGTATGGGTTGTAATAAGAGCTGTAAGAGTCCTCAATACAATGATAAAACCTTTGACTTACAATCAGTATAGCTATAACAAGACACTCACATAGAAGGTTAGAAATTGCTCTCTGCTGGTAGAAACATGTCCTTTATGCACGGTACTTTCATTTGAAGGAACACATTTTAGAAGTGAAATTTAGCAGCCAAAGAGAAGAGAAAATTTCAAAAGGCCAACCTAGTAGTACTGGAGCAAGATCAATTAACTCCCGCACAACTTTAATTAAAGTTAATAAGCCTTTATTAGCTGGGGGTTAAGGGGAGGCTAGAGCCCAATTCTCCCTCAACCCCAAATGCTCAAAGAAGAAAGTTTTTATACTGTGGAATAAACAAGGCACAAGGGCAGGTGGAGTCATAATATATGGAAAAATGGGTATTTATAAAAATAAAATGGAGTGGGGATGGGGAGGGAGGGAAAAAATGAGGAGCTGATAGCAAGGGCTCAAGTAGAAAGCAAATGTTTTGGGAAGGATGAGGGCAACAAATGTACAAATGTGCTTGACACAGTGGATGTATGTATGGATTATGATAAGAGTTGTACGAGCCCCTACTAAAATGATTTTTAAAAAGAAAAGAAAAGGCTATGGTTCCCATATCAAACTTGAAGGAAGGCATATAATAAATATAAAGGCCTATTTTCTATAAGCTAAATCATTCTAAATGAACCTTTATGCTCACACAACCAAAATAGCATAAAATCAAATGGAGCAGGAGGAAAAATGAGAAGCTGACTCCAAGGGCTCAAGTAGAAAGAAAATGCTTTGAAAAATGATGATGGCAACACATGTACAAATGTGCCGGACACGATGGATGGATGTGTGGATGGATTGAAATCAGGGCTGTAAGAGCCCCCAGGAACATGATTTAAAATGGAGCTTTGCAAGCAACATCAGAAATTTCAAAAATAACTGGCAACAGCACTTACAGAAGGAATAACAGTAGTTGCAAAATGGCCACACTTGGGTCAGTACGAATGGCTATCCTCAGGCTAATTAACAATGTAACAGTATGGTTACACTGCCAAATGGCTATACTTAATACAAACATTATGGTTACACCGGGGCTAATTGTAGTGGGTTACTACACGCGGACTAACAAAACCTAATCTGAAATATGCTTTAATTTCTAAGTGTGGGGGTTCAAATGGAAATACTAAAATATCCACAGAACAAAGAAAACTGAGTCTACAGCTCCCACTGGCTCGGCCCTCCTGCCTCCGTTACACAGACGCTGGTCAGCGGCAGATCAGTGCGGTGCCCAACCATGCTCCAAGTTTATTCACTGTCCTCCGCCAGGGCAGGCCAGGACATCTTCAGCGTACACCTCCTTCAGCGACGGCGGTCCTGGATCTTACCCAACACCTGTGACTGCGTTCGGTCTGCTGGCTTTATTCAAGACTTATGCGTATGGCAACAAGTTATTTTTGGACTCGGCTTAATACTGCCAATTTCCCAGAGAATAATCTCTAAAACCAACACGTCTTTACTCAACTTTGGACCCTCATATAGCCAGACCCATGCTTTGAATCAGTCTTAACAGGTCTAATTCTTAAGCAGTCATTCAGAGTTGGCATTAAGAAATAAAGAGAACAAATCTATACACAGAGCTAGAAGAGCACAACTTATAAATGAAAACCTGTCCAATATTATTGCAACTTATTACAAAAAATTCACAATGACTTCCTGGCATCAGATAATAAAGCCCAGTAATGAAGTAACAAAAACAGTAACTTAGGCAGAAGCAAAAACTGGAACTTGGAAATACTGACTTTCTATATCACCTTGCAAATTATACAAATTGAAATTTCCTTGAGGTCAGTATGAACACCAAACTAACTTGACTTTGAGGCTGCTCTCTTCAAGGCTGAACACTAACAGACTTTTAAGGCTCAAAACCTAACTCACAAAACATCTATTTAGAATAGAAAAAAGGACAATATATCACAAGAAAGTATACTAAATGAAAGAAAAACTAAAGTCTTGGAACACAAGGAGCATTATTATGAGCACCATCAATACAGGCAAACATATTAAGAATATAAAAAAGTGTATTTATGAGTCCAAAAGATTAACCCCTGCATTAAGCCTTACAAATCATTTTCTTTTACTGGTGTACATAGTTGTACAGATTCTTATCATTTTGCTGACAGGCTATTTCAGGCAAAGCCTTCCCATGTAGCTGGTTCCTGTAAGAAACTGCGTGGCTTCTGGACTTACAAACCTGCAACAACTGTCGGTGCCTCCACAAGTGACCTCGTGACAGACGAGAACATGAGTACACGTGACTGGTCACAGTGTTAAAAGTTTTGTTGCATGTACTGACAAGTGAAAAAATTTAATTTAGCACCCCAGAGAGATTTACAAGTATATGTACACATGAAGCACATTGTATAGGTACATACAGATTTGCAGAGTATGGAAAGTGACCTGGGACAGTCCCTCCACCACCACAACACAGGAGCTGGCAGGAGCTGGCAGAATCAACTCTGACAGCACTCAGGGCCTAGATGAGCACCTGAAGGAAGGGCAGTGGCTGTCGAAGGAGAAGCTGGTAAATGTGGGGAATGTAACCATGGGGTTGGCAGCCACACTCCTGTTGCAGCTTGCTGGTGCTGGGAAGGCAATCATGGTCGTGCCCTCCAAAAATCAGGGTTTGTGTTCTGTCTGTCTGGTGGTTTAACAAGGGATCTGCGCATAGGCTGGCCACTCTTTCACCCATGGAAACCTCTGTGAAGAGTAATACAGTCTTCACCAAAAGAGAAGAACCCCTACACAAATGAGCAAAGGCAGCCTGCAATGAACAGCAGCAGTAATCCCTGAAGAGGAGACCTATTTTCAGAGCTGCCATGAGCATTCAGCATGATCAGTTCACAACAAAAACTTTACAGAGAAACTAAAGGTATGGGCCAATCACAGGAAAAAAGAATGAACAGAGACTATCCCTGAAGAGGCCCTGTTAATGAACTCAACAGACAATGACTTCCCACTAACCGCCTTAGTTATGACATGGAGAAAGAAAGAAAAATCCGGGAAAAGATGGAAGCAGAGGTTTCAAAAAGTTTGTGGGAAATTTTTATTTTCTTCTAATTCCATTTTTCCATGAACTTTTTAAAGCACTTTCCAAACCCCATATGCGTAAGTAGGAATTATCCAGAGAGAAATTATAAAAAGAAATTAAATAAATGCTGGAACATGTTTGCAGTGTATGTTGTCACAATAAAAAAAGGGCACACACACAAAAACAATCACAAAGTCTGCAGCAGAACTGAAGAGAGAACTGACACTCACCATCTGCTTCACGTAGGAGGGATCACTGTAGTCTGCCATGCCATCCTCAGGATTGATGTTTAACTTGTCTCGCAGGGGAGTTCTTCCCGGGGTGGAGTTGGTAACTGGCTTGGGAGTGGTCCCACTCCTTGGAGTAAGCCCTTCGGGTCCATGAGAAGGAGTCCTGGAGAAACAGAAAAGCCACTTAATTTTTTTAGAGTGCCACTTACATATTTTTAAATTGTACTTTCAAATGTTTTTCACATATTTCACAGGATAAAAAAAGAGATTCCAGACATTTTGTTTCTCTACTTGGTTTTAAGTTAGCTCTCTGGGTTAAAATAAAGGTTTAGTGCAGCTAATTGGGCCTTCACCCTGCAAACAAAGTTCTTTTGTCTTAATGAACGTCAAGTAAAGCTGTTACAACGTGCACTACCTCCCTAATCTAGGACCGCCAAACGTCACTTCAAACTCTCTTGATGCGTCAGGGAGGCTGAGAGTATATCCGCTATTTCAGCGTGAAAGGAGGTGTGACGTCACACGCAGTGACCCAGATGCTTGATTGGAGTTCAAGTCTTCATCACTGTTCTCCTCCTTCCTGGCTACCAAGCGACTGATTATCAGCGTTGTGCACATTTTAAGTAGTTGGTCCCTTTATATTTTGTTCAGAAACCAAAACCAAGCTTTCAGAATCAGATTTAAATGTGAATATATTCAGAGAATCTCCTAGGGATAGTCTGTAGACTTTCCAACTTATATTTTAAGTGTTAAAAGACTTTGTGCTTTCTAATCTTACTTCTTGTTTCCTGGCTGTGGACCAGGAAGGTGGAGCTGCCAGACAAGGCGAGAGATAGGGGAGATGTTATTGTATAAGACAGGGTCCCTGCCCTTAAGGAGCTTACAAGCTAGCTGAGAAACAAGACATACACAGACAGGGAAAGAAGAAATTAGGCTCTTATGATAGTTAGGTTTATTGTGCCAACTGGGCTTCTCCAGGAACATGTGGACTGTTTAATCAGGTTGTAGCTTGACTGGAGGGCAACCAATCAAGATAAATGGCTCTGCAAAGCCAGCTGCTTCTTCCTTCTCCCTGGTTCCACCAAAGTGAGTTCAGCTGAGCCCTCTATACTGCTGGGCGGGCTGTAGTATTCCTTCTCACTGTATAAGCCTGTCCTTATATATTTAAGTGTTCCGGTTTTGTTTCTCTAGAGAACCCTGCCAAACACAATTGATACCAGGAGTGGTTCTAAAGGAACAAGATCATAAATATGGGTTTCCTGAATTTGGCTCTCTGGCCTGATTAGGCCTAACAGTACTGAGAATGCTGCCTCTACCCGTAAAAGCATGGATAAGTCTGTCACTATTACTAGAGAGGGTGGTGTTCATCCACGGTGTGAAGTGGCGAAAGCTGTTATCCACGACATCAGCACCAATAGATGCAGTGCTGGTGAGGAGAGGCTCTTGATGATCATGTATTTGATTTTTTTTCCAGCAGTTTTGTCAGGATGAGAAGTATAGGGAAGCTGGTTGGCTGGTCCTCCTTATAATAGACATGTGATCAAGGAAAGGGATCATCTCAGAACCATATCTCAAATGCCAAAGAAAAAACCTTAAAGCTTCTGCATGTGTTAAAGAGCACCTTCTCTCTTCTAGAGACATTGCTGAAAAACAAATCCAGTCTAATCATACAAGTACCTGAATTATAGCATCAGCTGAACTGTGGGCCTAGAACAGTGTCTGATATTACAGTAAAGGCAGTAAGAAAAGAAATGGACCCTGAAACATGGGACGGGTCTGTATGGGCCGATGATCCAGAGGAGGAGGATATTGAGGTCCTAGAGTTGACTGAGCCACCGCAGTCAAGACATCCACCCCTCCCACCCGAGGGGATTAATCCACTATCGGTAAAACAACTCACACCTGTGCATATTAACCAAACTGCTCAAGCTGAAATGCCAGGTGGGGCTGCATCTGTAGCATTGTCTAAGGGAGATGCCTTACCAGATATTGCTGAGATCCCCCAGAAAACACCCCCACCACCAGGTATTTCCTCTAGAACTGTAAGTAGAACTAAGTCTCAGAAAGTTCCTAAAGATGAGTTACAAAAAAAAAAAAAGATGAGTTACAGATGGTAACTCAGGAAGAAATGAACTATACTCATAAAGACCTGCTCGAGTTTCCAATATGTACAAACGGCAACCTGGGGAATATGCATGGGAATGGTTACTAACGGTATGATACCAGTGCAAGGAATGTAACCCTAAACCAGCCGGAGTTCTTTGACATGCGCCCCCTAAGCACTGATTCTTCTTTCAGTGTCTCAGCAAAAGAGGTTAAAAGTTTATTTGGTTGGTTCACTGAAGCATGGGCTGACAGACAGCCAGCATTAGACCAACTTGAGGTACCTGACCTACCTTGGTACACTGTAGATTATGACATCCAAAAGCTTACGGAATTGGTTTGTTAGAATGGATCTAACAGAATAATCCCATAGACGCACAAAACGAGTGGCCCTGAGGACATACCTTCCACCCAAAACCATAGGGAACAAGTTGAAGGGGAGCCAGCACTTCTGAAAACTCCTGTGATTATTATTTTATGTAAACCAGGATTAACAGTGGGAACTGCCCTAATTAAACTACAACATTTGACAATGGGGCTGATTGGGCCCCATAGTGGTAGGGGCCAGGGGTAGCACTGAATCAGCAGAGACAGGGTGAGCATGGTTATCATAATGGACAGCAAGGTTTCCGTAATTAGAGCAACCTGTCTCATGTGAAGTTATGGCACTGACTACTTAGTCACAATAGCTATGTGATCTATACAAGCAGAAAAATGTGAGATCAGGTGAAGAGCAGTTAACTCAAATCACCAGAATAGAGTCACGACCCCCCAATCAATTCCTTGCCTTGATGCAGTTTGCAAACCAACAACCCCTTAAATGAGGGGAAGGCCAGGTCCCTCTGAAGAAGGACCCTGCTATATCAACAAAGGTTTATACTGTTGTTAGTCTTTCTTCTAGCCTTCCCCAAAGGGACCTGTGGCCTTTCACAAGAGTGAGTGCCCATTGGAGGAAATAATCAAACTTTTCGTGGATTACTGGACACTGGCTCGGAACTGACACTAATTTCAGGAGAACCAAAATGTTTCGAAGGCCCACCAGTCATGGGCATATGGAGGTCAAGTTATTAATGGAGTTTTAGCTCAGGTACGCCTCACCATGGATCCAGTGGGCCCCCAAACCCATCCTGTCCTTAGTTCCCCAGATCCAGAATGCACCATTGGAATAGACATACTTAGCAACTGGTAGAACCCCCATAATGGATCCCTAAAATGTGGAATAAGGGCTATAATGTTAGGAAAGGCCAAATGGACACCATTAGAACTGCCATTGCCTAGGAAAATAGTAAACCAAAAGCAATATGGCATTCCTGGAGGGATTGCAGAGATCAGTGCCACCATAAGACTTGAAGGATGCAGGGGTGATGATTCCTACCACATCCTCGTTTAACTCACCTATTTGGCCTGTACAAAAAACAGATGGATCTTAAGAGAATGACAGTGTATTATCGTAAACTTAGCCAGGTGGGGGCTCTCAATTTCAGCTACCATTCCAGATGTGGTTTCATTGCTTGAGCAAATTAACACTTTTCCTAGTACTTGGTATGCAGTTACCAATCTGGCCGATGTCGTCTTCTCAATACCAATTTTGAAGGACCACCAGAATCAGTTTGCCTTCAGCTGGCAGGGGCAACAATACACTTTCACAACTCTCCCCATGGGTACACGTCGACTCTTCCGCCCTGTGCCATAATTTAGTCTGAAGGGACCTTGATGTCACACAGATCCATTATACTGATGACATCATGTTGATTGAACCCATTAAGGAAAATGTATCAAAATCAGTGGTTCTCAACCCTCCGAATGCCGTGACCCTTTAATACAGTTCCTCATGTTGTGGTGACTCCCCAACCATAAAATTATTTTCATTGCTCCTTCATAACTATAATTTTGCTACTTTTATAAATTGGGCGACCCCTGTGAAAGGGTCGTTCAACCCCCAAAGGGGTCGCAACTCACAGGTTGAGATCCACTGCTCTAGATTCATTGGCACATCTGTAGGCAAGAGGGTGAGAAATCACACCAACGAAGACTCAGGCAGCCTCCATCTCAGTAAAATTTCTACAGTCCAGTGGTGTGGGGCATGTCGAGATATTCCTACTAAAGTGAAGGATAAGCTATTGCCATCTGCCCCCACGCACCCAACAACTAAACAGGAGGCATAACGCCTACTGGGCTTCTTCAGATCTTGGAGGCAACATATCCCTCATTCGAGTATGGTACTCTAACGTATTTATCAAGTGACGTGAAAGGCTGCCAGTTTTTGAGTGGGGCCCAGAACAAGAAAAGGCTCTGCAACAGGTTCACGCTGCCGTGCAAGCTGCTTTGCCACTGGGGCCATATGATCCAGCTGACCCAATGGTGCTAGAAAGGTGTCAGTCCCAGATAGAGATGCAGTGTGGAGTCTTTGGCAGGCCCTTATTGGCAAAATACAGCCTTGACCCTTGGGAATTTGGAGTAAAGTTCTGCCATCATCTGCAGACTACTCCCCTTTTGAAAAACAGCTGTTGGCCTGTTACAGGGCCTTACTGGAGACTGAAGGCCTCACCACAGGCCACCAAGTCACTAGGAGGTCTGAGCTGCCCATCATGACCTGGGTCATAAAGTCGGACGTGCACAACAACACTCCATCATCAAATGCCAGGTGGTATATAGGAGACTGGGCTAGAGCAGGACCTGAAGGTACACAGAGGCCCAAATGCCACAGCCTCCATTCCTGTTACAGTACCTTTATTCTCCCAGTCTGTACCTATGGCCTCCTGGGGAGTTCCTTATGATGAGTTGACAAAGGAACAGAAAATTCATGCTTGATTTACGGATGGCAAACCGTGGAGGTGCCACTTGTAAGTGGACAGCAGCAGCACTACAGCCCCTTTCTGGGATCTCCCTGAAGGACAGTGGTGAAGCGAAATACTCAATGGGCAGAACCTTGAGCAGTGCACCTGGTTGTTCAGTTTGCCTGGAAGGAAAAATGGGCAAGCGTGCAACTGTATACTGATTCACGGACTATGGCTGATGGTTTGGCTGGACGGTCAAGGACTTTGAAGGAGCATGATTGGAAAATAGGTGACAAGAAAGTTTGGAGAAGAGGTATGTGGAGAGACCTGTCTGAATGGGCCAAGAAAGTAATCGTGTCTCGTGTGAACGCTCACCAAAGGGTTACCTCTGAAGAGGAGGACTTTAACAACAGAGTGGATAAGATGGCATGGCCTGTGGAGACTAGCCCCCCTTTTCCTCCACTGCTCCTGTCACTGCCCAATGGACACATGAACAAAGGGCACATGGTGGCAGGGATGGAGGTTATGCATGGGCACAGCAACATGAACTTCCACTCACCAAGACTGACCTGGCCACACTGAATGCCCCATCTGCCAGCAGCAGAGACCAACATTGAGTCCAATATATGGGACCATTCCTTGGAGAACCAGCAACCTGGTGGCAGGTTGATTACATAGGACTACTTCCATCAGAGGGAACAGCATTTTGTTCTTACTGGAATACACACTTACTCTGAATATGAATTTGCCTTCCCTGCACGCAATGCCTTCTGCCAAAACTACCATTTGTGGACTTACAGAATGCCTCATCCACTAGCATGGCATCTGTGGTAGTTACATAATCTCGTGTCAACTTGAGGGTATTAAGAGTGAAGGGGTGCACCACATCAGGGTGAAATGCTAAGACCGTGTAACAGAGTAGGAGAGCAATGAAGTCCCTGGGGAATACCAAAAATAGAGTTCAGGGACAGAGCGTGGCAATCCATCAGACTGAACTGGAAAACACTCCTAAAAGGTCAAAAAACAGACCTATAAACTATTTATAGGTTTTTCTTTTTCTTGTCTTTGGGAGTTTTTATTGTTTTGTTTTCTTTTCTTGTTTGGTTTTACTCTGTTTTTGTGCTTATTATTGTCTCTGCATGTCTATCTAGATAAGATAGGCAGGATACACAATGCAGAAGAGAAAATGATGGAACTGACGGTTCTGGGGGAACACAGGAGAAGGGGAGGCAGGGGAAAGGAAGTGGGAGTTAACAAACCCAGGGACAAGGGAACAATAAGTGATCTAAAATCAATGGCTAAGAGGGTGTGGGATGCCTAGTAGGACTTGATCAAGGGCAATGTAACCAAGAGGAATTACTGAAACCCGAATGAAGGCTGAACATAATAGTGGGACAAGAGGAAAGTAAAAGGAAATAGAGTGAAAAACTAGGAGGCAACTAGGGTATTTATCGAGGTCTAAATACAGGCATGTACATATGTAAATATATTTATATGTTAACGATAGGGAAATAGAACTATGTACATATATTTATAGGTTAAGTTTTATGGTAGCAGACAGACATTGGGTCTCTACTCAAATACTCCCGCAACACAAGAACACTTTGTTCTAATAACCTGGAATTCCATGATGCTCACTTTCCTGACACAACCGCTGAAGACAAAATGGGTGCATAAGCAAATGTGATGAAGAAAGCTGATGGCGCCCAGCTATTAAAAGATAAAGTGTCTGGGGTCTTAAGACCCAGAATAAAAATCATATCAATGTGAATGAGGGGGAGGGCAGAATGGAGTCCCAAAGCCCATGTGTAGACAATTGGACATTCCCTTACAGAGATGATAGCTCACAAGAGATGAACCAGTCAAGGTGCACTATAGCAATGATGAAATATACAACTTTCCTCTAGTTCCTAAATGCTTCCTCACCACACATTATCATGACCCCAATTCTACCTTACAAATCTGGCTAGACCAGAGCATGTACATGGGTACAGATAAGAGCTGGAAACACAGGGAATCCAGGACAGATAAACCCCTCAGGACCAATAAGGGGAGCTATACCAGGAGAGTAAGGGGAAGGGGAAGGGAGAAAAGGGAACCAATCACAGTGATCTACATATAACCTCTTCCCAGGGGGGCGGACAACAGAAAAGTGGGTGAAGGGAGACATTGGTCAGTGTAAGACATGAAAAAATAAGTTTATAAATTATCTAGGGTTCATGAGGGAGGGGAAAAATGAGGTGATACCAAGGGTTCAAGTAGAAAGAAAATGATGATGGCAACAAAGGTACAAATGTGCTTGACTCAATGGATGGATGTACAGATTGTGATTAAGAGCTGTACAAGCCCCCAATAAAAAGATTTTTAAAAAATCAAAACAAGAAAATAATTAATGATTATTCTTTTTTTTTTTTTTTAAGAGCGAAGGGGTGGAGTATAGCTTGTCAATCAGGTCACGGCCTAATGATGCCTCCTTGTGAGCATGGCCTTCTCAAGAGGATCCTGGGAACACCCTCTTCCTATTGAGGAGCCACACTGAGAGAGCTGAAGGAACCATATGGAGACCTGTGCCAGCACTGGTATGCTTCTACCAGCAATGGATCTGCAAGACTTTGCAGCCACCGGCCTGTGATCTTCCTGCATTTGTCATCATTTTATGTGCTGTGTGAGTCTAAAGAGGACTTTATGAACTAAATTGGACATGTGGGCTAACATCAGACTTATGAACTTCATCTGGACTAGGCTGGGATGTTTTCTCAATATACAATTGCTCTTTGATATAAAGCTCTGTCTTACACATATGACTGTCTCTGGATTTGTTTCTCTAGTCACCTGGCCTAACACAGCATCCTACACAGCGTTGTTGCAGCTCAAGGAACTCACTTCGCAGCAAATGCAGTGTAGCAATAAGCCCATGCCCATGGAATCTACTGGTCGTACCATGTTCATCATCCTGAAACAGCTGGCTTGATTCGACGACAGAATGGCCTTCTAAAGACACCAATTACAGCGCCAGGTAGGTGGCAATCTTTCAGGGCTGGAACAATAGTCTCCAGGAGGCTGTATGCTCTAAACCAGTGGCCAATATATGGTGCTGTGTCTCTTATCTCCTAATAGCTGGATTCATGGGTCCAGGAAACAAGGAGTGGAAGCCAGATGGCACCACTCACTATTACTCCTAGTGATCCACTTGTAGCCTTTTTGCTTCCTGTCCCAGCAACCCTAAGCCCTTCAGGCCTGGAGATCCTAGTTCCAAAGGAAAGAACACTTCCATCTGGAAACACAACACCAATTCCACTGAATTGGTTAAGAATGCCCCCTGGCCACTTTGTCCTCCTCGTGCCTTTGGATAAACAAGTAAAGGGTGTCCCTTCACTGAATGGAGTGACTGATCCTGATTACCAACGGGGAAATTGGATTGGACTGGTGCTCCATAATGGAGGTAAAGGAAGAATATGTCTAGACTCCAGGAGATCCCATAGGCCATCTCTTAGTGCTACATGCCCTGTGATTACAGTAAATGGTAAACTACAGCAACCCAATCCTGACAGGATATCTAATGACTCAGACCCGTCAGAATGAAGGTCTGGATCACCCCACCAGGCAAAGAACCATGACCAGCTGAAGGCAAAGGAAATACAAAATGGGTTGTGACCAATTGCAAAGGTGGGGCTTGTGATTTTTAGTATTTCTTCTATGTGCTTGTTGAATATCTTTCAGTTGTTCATGTGTAATATACCAGATACAAATAGGTTCAGTGTGTCTTCATTTATACACATGCTAGCTACATGATGTTAAGTGTAAGTATGATTTCATTAATGTCTAAAAGAGTTAGACTATGATAATTAGGTGCTGCTCCTGGAGCTAGTCCTTTGCCTCAACCATATGCTGCACTGCCTGTGGACCGAACCAACCCTGGGATCGAGCCTATCCGGGCACTGTGTCACCTTGCTGAGCATCACTAGAATTTAAGACTCCATCTGGTGTGATAAGAGTTGTATGAGCCCCTAATAAAATGATTTTTTAAAAAGACTCCATCTGGATCTGCTTCACTTTGCAACTACTGGCCTCTGCTACACTTTACTTCTCACCTTCCTGCTGTTGCTGCCCCACCCTGCTGTCTGCTTGCCTGAGGGCAGATTCTGCTGTGCTTCCTTGAACTGGACAGCAGCTGGCATGTGTCCTTCAAGGACCTTCAATATATCTGTTCCACAAAAGTGAGTCGAACTGAGCCTTCTGTACTGCTGTAATTAGCTGTTGCATTCCTTCTCGCTATATAAACAAATATATATACATATATATATATATACACACACACACACACACACATATGCCCTGGTTTTGTTTCTCTAGAGAACCCTGCCTAACACAGCTCTCTTACAAGCCTTGCATACATACTAGATGTTGTGTAAGGATCTGGTTGCCAAAGCATCTTGATTCTGCTGCCATGGTGAACTGTAAGAGTCTGAGATGCTTCCCATACTACACAACTTGTGTTTTGAAGATATAACATGCTCTACTGAACAATAAAGGACATACTCCTAAACCATCCGGAATGAAAGCAAACCAGAAATAGCTCTGACCCTTAGTTCCAATTCCACTTTAACACAACTTGCTTTTATCGTTATCTATAGATCCAATTCTTCTTAAAAGCAGTAGCTTAAAACAAAACAAAACCTTGTAAACAAATACGGACTTGTAGTTAATATTATGCATGTTAAAGTGTAAAACAGACTAATACCTAATAAAGAATAAGATGCATTACAAAAATAAGACATATTTGAAAAGGAAAAAAGCCAAATGGCTATGTGGATGTTCACTTTACCGTTCTAACAAACTTTTCTGAATGTTAGATTCTCCATAAAAGCTGGTGAAAATATAATAGGAATACATGTGTTAAGAGTTGTCATTTTATAAGAGTCATAAAATGATGATTAACAATGGGTCAATCTGGTCTTTCCAGGCAAAAAAATACTCAAAAACGAGGTGGTAACATCAGAAGCTTTGGATAAAAATGTTCTGCCATCAGCATCATGCAGTATTTAACAATTACAAGACTAACAGACAGTGTTCTGTTACTGACACCTGAGTCAGAAGAAATCAAAGAGGCGAGTGAAACACAGATTTCCTTTCTCTGTCAATACTATTTCAGCAAACATGATACTCAGATCCTTGGATTCAAATTTTGCTAAGGCACAAACTCTGAAAGTTTATTCACCATACCTGAACGGGGTAGAGAGAACAGTGTTTGGTGTCTGTACAACCTGTCGCTGTGGAGTCACACCTGAGAAGTCGCTCTCATGCAAAGGGGTATTGAGGCCACCTTTTAATGGTGTGTCCACATTGGTGAGGGCCATGAGATTCTGGGCTTCCTGGTGAGAAAGAAGGTAAAATAGCATGGTTAGCAGTTCAAAAGGACAGCAGAATCCACTATAAAAACTTCAAGCAGGCAGACTTCATATGCATTTTCTCAAAAGAAAATTACTCACAGGTCATAGAAGTCAATACTTCCTCATCACCTTAAATACCAACCCCCTCAGAAGTCTTATCGAGTGTTATATGCAAAGGTATACTCTGTGGCCTTACATACGAAATTGCCTGCACCTAAAAGCTTCTTTTATTACTTATGCCATGCCTCCTTCTTTATAAGCATAAAGAACTAATCTCCCAGTGTGAATTCAAGCTGTCAGAACATCTGGGTTTCATTCTGGCTTCCACACTAAACAATCCTGTCACCAGTCTGCATTCACTTCTGTGGGCTGCAGTGTCTTCTCCTGGGGTGTTAGGTCTATAAGCAGCTGGCCCACCCACCTCTCGTAAGAAAACAACTTGAGGGGACACATCTTCTCATCGAGTCTGGTCTGACTTCTTCAAGCAGGCCTCATCATCCTCTCTCTGGTCACTCTGCTACGGCCCTGCTTCTCACTGCCTTCACTGCACCTCTAAGTCTCAATTCCCAGCTACAGGCCACCAGACTATTTTCAACTGGGGTGACAATACTGCCTCTCAGCGCACACACTCTTCTTGCACTCTAACCTTGATACTCCTTCCATCAAGAGCAGGCAGCCACATCCCCTTCCTTTGAACATGCGTAGGCTTGTGACTCATTTCTAACTAAGAGAATGAAGAGGTGATGCAGCCTTGGCTTTCAGGGTTACGTGAAAAAAGTCTTCATAGCTGAGGTCCCATACACTACTAAGCAGAGACATCCGTTATCCTGGACCCACAGACACCGTGAATGTAATGAACAGGCGTGTTAAGCCACTAGGTTTGGGGATGGAAGGGAGAGAACCAAAGCAAGGCTTATTCCATTAGGTGTGTCTCTTCCATGGAAAACTCAAAGGTTGATGGGTGGTTTGGGGGCCTTACCAAATACAAAGTGTTTCTCAGAAAGAACTTAAATCCCACAGGCTTAGAACTTATAAGAAAAGGATTAAATGGTAAAGCATATACCCCCTCAAGTGTGGATGTGATATGCCAAACCATATACACCAACTTTACAAGTAGCCAAAGCTCTAACATACACTGTACTGAAAGTATCAAAAAATGGTCGGGGGAAGGAGAGGGACCCAGTACATGATTGGCCAGTACAATGCTGGGGCACCTGAGAGCCATCTACCAGGTGGCAGTTGTTTCACTGTCATGCTGTTACAGTGGAAAAATTCCCTTCTCTTAAAATGAAACTACACAAGATTTGTGAGGCAGCAGTGAAGCAACAACCATTACGTCCTGAAGCGTGTCATTTGTTCGACACACTGAAAAACACATGGAGGTGTCGCCACGTTTCAGTGTATCTTGGTACCACTTCCCGGTTCCATGTCTACTTCTCCACACTAACGGTCAGCCCTGGGGACCAACAGCCACCCTAGGCCCATCACCAGACTTCTGTCAGACTCACAGAAAATGGGAGCCACAAAGCACCAAGAACCCACCAGAGGCTTTCCTACCAGCCTCCCTGCTGCCTGGCAAGCTCTGCCTCATTCAGTCACACTGGGCCCATCTAATGGCATTTCTCTGATCCTTCAACTCTCCTCTTCAGACCTTACTTCTCCCCACAGTTGGATACCGCCCAAGTCCTATGATAAATCCCTGATCTATAATGGTCATAGGGTTCTGCTCCCTTGATGCACCCCAGGACGGTCCTACCCAGCTCAAAGGAGGCCCAGAGATGACAGCAAAATGCCTATCCCGGCTCTCCATAAAACAGCAGCGGGAGGGATCACCGCTATCACACAGGGCAGAGCCAAACATGCAACAAGGGTTCACAAGGCTAAGGTCTCAGATTCTTACCTAAAAGTAAGCTTAAACAGTATTACAGCCATCAGCTTGACCACCAACTTCTGTCCAATTTTAATGACTGAATCCCATGTTGTAGGAATTATACCTCAATAAAGCTATTTTTAAAAACACGAACGGATTTCTACTAAATCCTGACTTATATTACAATATAACTTTTCCCCAAAAAGGTAAGGGTGAGGGAGCTTTTAATTTTACCTAAAATGTTCAAGTTCTACAAATGTATACTTGCAAACTAGCATGGCCAGCATACCTTGCTTTATTGTGCTTGCAGATAATGGCTATTTCAAATAGAAGGTTCATGGCGAGCCTGCAACAAGCAAGGGTTGGAGCCATTTGTATGACAGCATGGCTCGCTCTTCCTGTGTTTCTGTGAGAGTTCAGTCATTCTCACAATACCCCATCTCTTCTATAATGTGATTGCACACTTATTAGACAATGTCAAAGTGCAAGCCTAACTGGTACAAGCATTGAGAACACAAAGCATTGGTGACTTGTTCTACTGCAACATCTGTTTTATTGCAGTGTAGGTAGCAAACCCCCAGCACCACCGAGTTGAAAAAACAGCAGGGGCGAGCGTCTGCTCTGGAAAGGGAGAGTGAGGCCAACCTGGAGGTAAAGTAAATCACTGAGAAAGTATACACTGGTAGTCTGCACTGAATGAAAATCACTCTAATTTATATGTTCAAGACTCAGTTCCAAAACATTCACCCCAGATCACAAGTGCTCTCCTTCAGAACACTTTCAAGGGCCAAAAAACGAATCCAGTGTGGAGTACTACCTAGTGGCCAGCTTACCTGCAGAATCCTGTCCTGGGAGGCGGGCGTCCGTGGTGTCCTCAGAGCGATGCTGTTGTTGGTAACGCTGTACTCAGACAGGAGTGTGCTGGAAGCAGAGTTGGTGATGCCAGATTCCTCAGCAGTTTGACGGGCAATTTCACTTGCCTGACCGACTTTTACAACTTCCTGAAGTTCAGCGTCTGAAATCTAAAAAGGACACAACACTTTAATCCGAGAACCAATACAGCTTCAGAATGGCCATACTTCAGGAGGTTGAACTGCTACAGCCATGTGCCAAACAGATGAGTTCATTTTCCTACTCTACTTACTCGTTTTAAGTTCCCATAATAAAGTGCAACAAACTTTTTCTGATAAAATGGGAGAGGAAATCTGCAAATGATATAAAATCAAACTGAAAAGATTAATTTAACTACTTTTACCATATCGACCATCTCGTTATCCAACATGTCACATTTACAAAATACAAGTCAAAAATGCCTGGTTATTTTGCATTTTAACAATGTGCACCGGGCAGTAACATGCACAAGGTCTGCAGGAAGAATAACATTGCTGATGGTCAACTTAGCTGGACCACAATTCCCAAGGTTTGGCAGCTATGTGATGATGTGGTCATCCTCCATCTCCAACTTAACACCAATTTTCACATAACGAACTCATCTTTAGAACCCAAGTGAAGGGGGGGTTGGGGGTGGCAACATCCCCACTCAAAGTCTTTCAAATCAACAAAAATATCAATCTATGGCACATAAGATGGGTTACACAAAACAATCAATATGAGGTGAGATAGGTGTTTCCAGAGTAATGGTATCAAAATAATATCCTATGGCACATAAGACGGGTTACACAAAACAATCAATATGAGGTGAGATAGGTGTTTCCAGAGTAATGGTATCAAAATAATATCCTAAGAACTAAGAGGGAAAAGAAATTTACACAGGCAAAAATTCCAATGTATGAAACATTACAAGATATAGCAACATGTGACAATATTATTTTATGTTTATGCCCAAGAATCTTGTGCTGATGTGACAGGGCACTCATACGGGGACTGCTTCTGGTCTAGACCATGAAATGTGTCCTAGTGCTGTCATATAACTCCAAGGTTCTGACAAGGACTTATTTAAATGTGTAACTCATCCACTAGACTACAATTCTCTTAAGGGGGACCCCATGCAGAACATAAGGCTGGAACACATCTTTGAACATCTACTGCATGAACAGTACAGTTGTGTAAACTCACACAGTAAAAAGCTTGTGTTTAACAGTCCTTGAACTAACTA